TATATATATATATATATGTATATATATATATAGACTTGGGATCATGTGAGACCAATGGTTTTTCGTGAGACCCCTAAGACCAATTCTCAACCATTGGATTAGATTTACAATCGTCAGATCTAAACATTCATAAACGCCACRAGACTTMTCAATAATTACAAAATTGTCACCTTGCAACTTTAGACCATTAGATTATTATATTATAAAGTTGATCAATGAACATAAATTGGTCTTACGGGTCTCACGAAAAACTCTTGGTCTCACGTGAACCCAACCCTATATATATATATATAAAGATTTAATTAGCGTTAATCAAAAACAATTTCCAATAGATTTTCGACGGAATTCGATTTGTTTTTATTAAAAATTAAATTCCGTCGGAAATCCGTCGGAAATTATTTTTGATTAACGCTAATTAATTTATTTAAATAAATTAGACAAATTTTGCGACGGATTTGTGACGGTTTTGAATAAGTAAAAAATCCGTCACAAATTCGTTGAAAAACCGTTTTAAATAATTTTAATTTTTTTCCAAAAAAATCAGTGGGGGATTTGTGGGGAATTCGTGGCGGATATGGATAAACGTTGACTTTGTTTGACTTCATTATAACAAAATTAAGTTTACAGGACGCCGCAAATAAATAAGTGTCATAATGGACTTTTTATAATACTTAATTTATAGGATTAAAAAATAAACCGTCCTATCTAAAGCCGTTGTAATAGGTTTAAAGGACGCTTTTGGACGTCTTAATAAGTTTTTTGGGACATTTCTAATATAAATCATTGTATTTGTTATTTTACAGGACACTTTTGAGAAAATGTCCTATAAACCCATTTTTTTATAAGACACTTGTGTTTATAAAACACCTTTTCAAATGATGTCATATAAAATAGCTAATATAATATTTTTCATAAAAGTGTCCTAATAAACTTGTTACTACGTAAGGAATAAGTTTGTGTTGGAATTTGCTTATGATGAAATAGGAAACCCATGTTGTTTTACTATTTTACTTTTCTAAATTCAAAAGAGGACCACTTTAACTAATTAAGTGTAACATTTAACTAAATGCATTCATGTATTTCAAGTCTACTCTCTCATAAAAGATCTATATACATTATCTATACGGCGAAAAATCATGTGAGTATTAGAATTAAGATGAGAATCATAAAAAAATGGATCCTTGATCTCCTTTGATCTTAAATCCACCTATGAATCATGCTTAATATTAGGATAGATCCAGAGCATCTCATCTTAATGTGCATCCGAAGGTGGAAATCTATTTTTATGCTTCTCACAT